GTGTGTTGCTCTTGGCACAGAAGTGGTCTGCATTACAGTCCGTCAGGTAGACCAAGATGGTGCGGCCTGGCAGCGGGGGCAGGTTGTGCTTCACAGAGAGGTTCACGGCTACCTCCAGGGCCTGGCGGTACCGGTCTAGCAGCTCCAGGTCATATTTGCAGTGTCTGCGGGGCAAGAAAGACAGACATAGGCACTGAGGGCCTCTCTGGTGCCGGCACAGAGCAGACAGAAGATGAGAACGTGCTTCTCAAGTCCTGAGGTGACTCCCTGGCTCCCTCTCAGCCCCGGCTTTGTACCGCTGCACAGAGCCCCTCTGCTCTCACAGAAGCTTCCTGATGCTGTGTTGTGCATCATCCTCTTTCCACACACTCTCATGGCAAGAGATAGACTCACCCGGAAATACATTTGGAAATCAACTGCCACACTCAGGGCACAGGTCCCTGATTACTTTGTGAAGGACGATTTAATGGCCACAAAGTTTTCAGCTGTATTTATTATTATTATTATTATTATTATTATTATTTATGTATTTGGTACAGGGTCTCACTATGTACCTTGGACTCATAGTGATATTCTTGTTTTCAGACTCCCACATGCTGGGATTATAGGCATGTGCCACAATGCCTGTACTCGATTGCAGGCTCGGCACACCCCGGGGGCCAGGCCGGCATGGCATGCGGGACCAGGGTTTGAACCCCGGTCCCTGAGCTTGCCAAAGCAGGCGCTTAGTCCCCTGAGTTATGTTGCCGGCCCTTCAAATGCATGTTTCCCCCACTGCTTTTTAAAGAACACCTGTGCTTTGTTTCTCTGAGCACCTCCCCTCCAGTCTGGAGTGCATCCTACATCCACTTCCAATAAATCTTCCTCATGCCTCTTTTGAAAAAAAGAGCACTAACTGCTGGCTCCAGTCACTAGTAATTACGACAAAATGAGGAGGAGAACATTCATTCCCCCTTCCCTACGCACTTACTTTATCAAGGTAATGAAATGCCTTAGTTAATGAGGGCAGCTCTTTTTACCTTTGCAGCTAAGAAAAATGGGAGAATGATGAAAAATTCCCATTCAGCAACTACCAATAAAGCAAATGGGTCAAGGAAACAGCTCTACACATCAGCTTTACCCACAGTCAAGACAGGAGGCTGTCAACCTCCTATGAACATTCATCAATTTTAGCATCACTAGAGGTTGGGCCATCAAATATTTAGTCATATATATGTGATAGACAGATGGACAGACAGAGAATTAGGCCTCTACTGTTAGGGATTGGAACCAAGGTTTCCGCCATGCTTAACAAGTATTCCACCACTGAGCTAAGTCTCCAGTTCTCTTCATCCTTTTTTTGGACAGCGTCTCACTAAATTGGCCAGGCCAACTTTGAACTTGCTCCTGCCTCTGATCTTGTATTTTATGATGAGACACAAAAAGCCTGGCAATTCCCATTAGTCTGTATAAGATTATCTTTGAAATTTTTGCAAAGAGAAAAAATATGTCAGTGTACTGAAGATTGAGATTTAGTATCTATGGTGTATCAAATAGAAAAGGAAAAAGATACCATGGTGAGGTACATAAATCCAAATATGTGATGTTCTGGGACCCCCGAACCTGGCTTCCACAGCAAGTGAGTGACAAAAAAAAATAATCTAGTGAGATTTAAAAAATATACAGTCTGGGGTCGCGGAGATAGCTCGGCAGTCTAAGTGCCTGCCTGGCAAGTGCAAGGACCCGTTTGTTCCATGGTACAGCATGCCATCATGGCCATGCCTGAGACACACTGAAACCACCAAAACTGGACGTGGTGGTGCACACCTGTAATCCCAGTGCTGGGGAGGCTGAAACAGGAGGATCATTACCTATACCATCCATATATATATATTTTAAAAAGACATAATCCTGCCCACTTATTGTGGTTACATTCCAGACAACCCTGTTATAAGTAAAAATCAGCGAAGTAGCGATGTGATATTTATTTTAGCATTTGTATATATTTTAAAGCTTTATAAACCCTTCCCACACTCTTGTAAACCTTTCCCTCATTTTAAAGCTTTATAAACCCTTCCCACACTCTTGTAAACCTTTCCTACACTTCTAATGTTTTTAACTAACATTTTCTAAACTCAGAAACTTGCATAATTTTAACAACATATGTATACTGTACAGTAGAGTATGTATTCACCCACTAAAGAAATACCTACTATAAACAGTGTACTTTATTTCAATTTAATATTTTTTAATGTTAG